GTGTCGGTGACAGAGGGGTGGTCGGAGCCCGTGTGAGCGTGGGGCCTGGTGAGAAGGAAAGGGACAGGGGTGGGGTGAAGAGGGACACAGGACAGCTCTCTCTAAGCCTTCCAGGGGCCACCGTTCGGGAGACAGAGCACATCTGTGCCATTTAAGTCCCCAGAGTGGAAATCAAAAGGAAGCCGTTCTAGCTCAGTCAAAAGACAAAGAAGTCAGAGGCAGGGAATCCTCTGGTCAAGATTTCAGTCCAATGATGTCCGCTCAAATCCCGACTCCACCTTCCTCTCTACTTGACCTTGGACAAACTACTTAACATCTCTGAGCCCAGCGTCCTGATCTGTAAAAAGAGGACGATAATGATACAGTGTGGGATCTTCTGCAGGGATTTGTTCTAAAGTCAGCGTGTAGGTCAGAACAAACGGTAATCAAAGTAATCCTTGAAAATCCTTGACAGAAAACCTGGGTTCACAAAGTTCGAAAGATAGTTGATGTATTTTATTTTTAATTAAAAAAATATTTTTTCAAGTTTGTTTATTTATTTTGAGAGAGAGAGAGAGAGAGAGAGAGAGAGAGAGAGAGACAGAGAGACAGACAGAGCATGAGCAGGGTAGAGGCAGAGAGAGAGAGAGAGACACAGAATCCCAAGCAGGCTCCAGGCTCTGAACTGTCAGCACAGAGCCTGATGTGGGGCTTGAACTCATGAACCGCGAGATCATGAACTGAGCCAAAGTTGGATGTTTAACCGACTGGGCCACACAGGTGCCCCAAGACAGTTGATATTTTTTTGAATAAATATCTCCTTGCATTTGAGCTGTGGCCAAATTTTCGGGGGGCATTACCGGGCATAGTTCGTATTGAAGGGAATGTTGGGGGTATCTACGTAAGTTAGATTTGAGCAGAGTTGATGGTAAGATATGTGTCTCTCTTTTATCCTCCTCTTACGTCGTCTGATGCAAGTGTTGTCAGGTAGCAACCTCCAGTTATTCCAAGCACATATAATTGAATTCTTGCTTTTCAAATCTGTGCATGATAGAATCCCAAGATGGAGTTTTGGGGATGATTAAATAAGAGTGTATATCTAAAGGAAGCCACGTGATGCTTGGTCTGCAATAGATCAATCAGTGAATGTTATATCTAAAATACCAACATCCATATTCATATCTGCATATTTTATATTTTAGCCCCTCCTTGATTGAGAGGTCTACAGAGTCCATGGCTTTGTTTTGGTAACAGTGCTTTCCCCAGTCCTGTGCAGAATCTGGAACACAGTGGGGGCTCAATAAATATTTGTCGAATGTATTAACGAACGAAGGATGAATGAATGCTAGTCCCTGAGATGGACCTGTCTGTGAGGCGAGAGTGGTTGCCTGCCTCGTCTTTATCGGAACATCTCCATTGAATTTCCTCTTCCTGGAAATCTTGAAAGGGAGGGGAGGGGTTTTCCGCAGTCAAAGGGACGTGGCATTGGGTAATGACCTGGCCCGGGCACAGTGATCCAAGCCTTCTTGGGTTCTCAGGGCGAGGCTCTTGTTCCAGGAGTACTTACCAATGATCAGCGTGGGGGGCAATGCATAAAGAGCTTTGGGAGGTACGAAGGTGGAACGCGCATGAATGAATTCTGTCTCCGGGGACGGACAGTCGAGCTACTGGTATTAATAGTTAGCCTGTGGGGGCGCCTGGGTGGCTCAGTCGGTTGAGCGTCCAACTTTGGCTCAGATCACGATCTCACGGTTTGTGCGTTCGAGCCCTGCATTGAGCTTGCGGCTGTCAGCGCGGAGCCCGCTTTGGATCCTCTGTGTCCCCCTTTCTCTCTGTCCCTCCCCCACTCTTGCTGTCTCTCTCTCTCTCTCTCTCAAAAATAAAACTACACATGAAAGAAAAGACCACAAAAGATCATAAATTTATTTTCTCCCAGATCTGGAGGCCAGAAGTCTGGAATCAACCTATTGGCAGGGCTCTACTCCCTCCAGAAGCTCTGGGGAAGGATCCTTCCTGCCTCGTCCTGCTTCTGGTGGCTGCAGGTGTCCTTTGCCCGTGGCTGCGTCCCTCCAGCCCCTCCATCTTTGCTCGGCCTTGCCCTTGTGTCTCCGTATGACCTTTTTCTCTTACAAGGACACTTGTCAGGGGATTTAGTAGCCACCCTAATTCAGAGTGATCTTGTCTCAAGATCTGTGCTTACGTGCTTACAAGACCCCGTTTCCAGATAAGATCACATTCACAGGTAGCAGGGGCTCGAACCCTGGACATACCACTTTGGGCCACAGGTCAACCCCCTACACCATGCAAGGCAATGTATTCACAGGTTCTGGAGACTAGGGCATGGGCACATCCGGGGAGGGTCTCTACGCTGCCCACTACGACACGTTTTCTTTTCTTCGCGAAGTTTCTTTTAAAGTTCTACAGAAGAAGGAAGAAAATGCAGTTTCCATGTTGTAATTATGACTTAATCTTTGGATTATCCATCCTCCTGACTCAGTGATGGCCTCATGTTCTCATGTGTTGGTGACTGTACTGTTTGTCAACGAACCGTGGTCTCTGGAACCACAGTAGCCAGCCATACATCGTCAGCGGGGGAGGAACTGACTCACGCTTGGAGAGAAATAAATGTAAACTCATGCTGGTCTTGAAGATGGTGCCCTCCATCTTTTGGCTGCAATGATTACGTTTCCAGCCTTCTGGTATCAGCTGGACTTGTAATAAGGAGATGCTAAAGGCTTCGGGAAAGGGCATTAAGATGTTAAAGCCTTCTCTGCCCCAGGGAAGGATTTTCTTTCCAGAGTTGGTCTGTGAGGGGTATTGGAAGACAGTGGATGTGCTGCAAAAAATACGAAGTTTTCTGCTGCTTGCTTAGCAACGTGTGGGGAGCTGGTCACTAAAGAGAACCCGATGTCCCCTCTGGAGGATATCAGCTTTGATTGAGCAACTGTCTTTCCTGGGTCAGGCAGCACCTACAGAGGCTGTGTGAGCCCACGCTCCTTGAGTGGTTGGCTGTATAGAGAGGACCCAGGGGAAGGTAGGTGTGTCCTGATCTTGGGCTTTGGGGAAGCACATCTGAGCTGGTTTGGACTGGTGTGGTAGGTCGGGTGTAGTGGGCAGGTACTGGTGAAATCCTGCATTGGTGAGGTTTTTTTTTGTTTTGTTTTCATTTGGTTGTGAGTAATAGAAACCCAAATCCGCTGTCTTAAGCCCCAAAAGGGGCAATATATTGACTTGTACAGCTAAAAGAGCCAGGTGACTTCAGGCAAAGTTGGATCCAGGAGCTCATCTGCCTTTCTCTCTGTGGTTCTGCACGTTTTCTCCCTGTGCTCCTGCTGTTCCCTGTGCCTGGCACCTGCTCCCCAAGCCCTGCACCTGCTCCCCAAGCCCTGCACCTGTGGGCATCCCGGTGTCCTCTGGGGGCCCCGACTCGGTGCGACTACCTCCTTCCTGCCGTCGTGTGTCCCCATGGGTCCTCACCTCCGTGTGTCCCTGCGTGCATATACGGATTCGGGACTCTGCACACTGTACGTCCTTGTGCATGTCGAGGGCAGGGTCTGTGTCCCACGGGTGTCCCTGTCCCCAGGGTCCATCAGAGTGAACAGCCACAGCAGCACACATCTTAGGCACACACGACACCAGGCCAGACTCCGCTCTGCTGGTTTCAGAGAAGGCACAGAGTCCGGCCCGCATGACCCCACGCGGTGGGTGTGGGCGTCACCGAATCTTACAGCTTGAAACCGAGGAGCTGTGCTCGGTGGGTTTTGAGCAAACGTCAGCCCGCCGGGTGTCCAAATTCATCGCACCAAAACGTGGACGGACATTTCTTCCCGTTTCTGCGCTCGCCTATAGACAGACTTAAAGACGGATGTGTCTGGAAGTCCAGACCTTTGGGTAAGAGTTTTGATTTTTAAGTGTTGGGAAGTCATTCCGTTGAAAGAGCTCCGTAAGCACGTCTTGCCGGGGGCTGTCAGTCTGGCCCTCC